TCGTCATCCTCAGGTTGGAGGCGGTGGCACTTACGTTTAGATTTCAGTCGGCACCCGCGACTCACGCGGCACGAGTTTCCTTAGCTGATCGGATTGTCCGCGCGCGCGCGCACGCTCGCGGTCGGTACACCGCTCCTCGGCGTGATCCATCGATCGACGATCGATACCGATCTAATCGGGACCCGGCTCGTGTCGACGCGCTTCCGTTCGCCGCCTCGACGAATCACGAGGCGGACAACACTCCCACGCGGAGAGGAAACCGCTCCGGAACAGAGTCCACTGGTCGTGTCCAGTCGAACGCTCGCGAGGTTGCACGTCGGTGCAGCCGCGATGATACCGAACACGACGTCGGTTTATGGGTGACCGTTACACGAGACGATCGCGGGACAGGTTCGGAGAGGAATTATTGCTGCCGGAGGTTGGCTGAGCCGGTGGCGTTGATATTGCCCGCGGATCGCTCGGCGCGCACCGATAATTGCGGGAATTAATGTGGGAGAGTATATCCGCCTGACGGAGAGAGAGGAGCTGCCGGATAGAGGAAGACGCGCTCGCCGTCGACGCGCGGAGGATCGGATTTTGCCGAGGATATTGCGACTCTGCCGGCTCGAGATCTTTGTACTCGAACGGATGACCGGTCAAGAATCCCGATACACCGGAGACGTCGAAGCCGGCGAACGAGCCTCTGAATCCTCCGGATCGGCCGGGGAGGCCTCGCGAGGATCCGCAGGCCATGGTGCCCGCGAGTGTTTCGAAAGTTCCGATTTTTTCCCTGTCGCATGAACGCGAGGCGACCTCGTCGTATTCACTCGTCGTAACCGCCTGCCCCCCTACCGTGGAACTGTGACGCGGCCCTCTCTCTTTTCCACGCGCCTCGCATTCCCGGTCGTTTCCACTTCTTTTCGACTAGTCGGCCGTTCGGCGCGTCCTGGACAACAGTTTTAATCGGTCGCACCCGCGGGCCCGTGCGCTCCGCGTCGGATCGGCGACGTGTCTGTCCGCCTGGTGTCCTTTGCACCTTGCTAACTACGCCAACGGGAACAGCCTCTTCGCTCGGGAACCTATCCTCGAAGAAAGTTTAGCGACCGGTTCGCTCGAAGACTGCGGCTATACACCGCTCGCGTTATCGGAATCTTCCGATTCTCCTTCTTGAAAAGTATTCCAGGAACGTTCGATCGCCGCTGCTGTCATCGCCGAGGATTTACGGTTCCGATCGGTCTCGCGATGGATCGTCGAACAGAACACTGGAAGAAGACGGTGCCTTCTTTACACCTTGCGAAGCTCTTCGCGTAGACCTCGCACCGTTGAAACTCCGCATCGAAGGAGGGATTCCTTTTTTCGTTACCATTTTGAAATCCCCACTCCGATTGGTCTCACGGCGAGTTCGTGGAATGAAACAGCAACAGAAGCGGACACTGAACGAGCACGGAAACTATTCTACCAAGAATACCAAGGAAAAAGCAGCGAGGTTTCGCCTAAACGCACCGGTTCCTCGCGAAACTCGATCGCAAGCCCACTGGATCGAACCTCGCGCAGAGGAAACTTTAAGCACCGAGATATCTCGACGACATCGGCAATTACGTCGCTACAGCGTTGCGTCGACCCCCCTCCCCCCAATCTTCGGCTGAACCCCTAACTCCGTCGAAGAGCACGCGAAGTAAATTGGGTTCCGGTTACGGCGCGAATTTACGATTCGGCCTGACGGCGGACCCGCGATCGTAGAACGCCCTCGACGAAAGTAGACGGTGAATGAATATAGAAGCCGTCTCTTTTCGCCGCAGCGTTCTCCAGTGCAACGTAGTTGCGCGTACGGCACCGGCGGCCCTATATAGTCCGCGCACGGTGTGCTCTTTTTTTATCCGGGTGTGTGTACCCGCGCCGGGGCGACGCGACGCGACGCGACGTAACCCGGCGTGCGGCGTGCGGCGTGCGGCGTGCGTGCGTGTGTCCAGAGGTTCTCGGGGAACATGGGAGTTCTTTTGGTCTCGGATGGCACAGTGGCGGTCCAACCTCGTATGAATTTGAACGCGGCGAAGGCCGCGGCCGCGCCGCAACCCGCCACCGGCAGCGAGACCAACAACAATGTAGACGGGCTCCGGGACGCGAATAGCCTGATGCCGGCGCAGGTCGTCGGTATAATCGGCGTGGTCGTCAACGACGAACCGGTGCGCAGCTGGATGCCGCCCCCGCCCAAGAAAAAATGGATACGGCATTATCTGCTCGGTGAGCTGATCTCTTTGTCGCTTGCTTCTTCCTCTCTCTCTCGCTCGCTCGCTCGCCCGGCCGCGAGTCGCCTCGCGCGGCCACGCCGATCGAGCGATTCGCGGCCGCACGATTATCGCGAGGCGAGATTCGGCTTCGGTGTCGTTTGAAAGTGAAATTAGGGGATCTGACGGGCACTCGATGCGCGTAGATTAGGACCTACTGCATTATGGAAACTGTTTTCGGCCGCGATGGACGAATAAACGCGCGGTGAATTTTTGCCGGTTTATTTTTGCGAGACGGTTGCTACGATTCAGAGGTTTCTTTTTTCTTCTTTTTTTTGGGATGGGCATTTCAACGAGTAGCATCTAACTGCGTAGCAACTGGGTTCTACTGATTCGAAATGTTGATTAATTACTCGGCGGAAGAATTCGATACTGACGGAAACAGGATGGCACGGCCGGTTTTTGATGTATAAGTCGGACGCAGACGTTGAATAATAAAATTCTCGCTGCTTTGCTTCGCTTTTATGGAGTCATAACGTAATCCAGACAGCGCGCGCGTGGATATTTTTGAAAATTGGTTACGTTCTTTATGGATGGATCCGTTTGATTGCGTTGAAATATGTAGCTGCAGTTTATAAGTGATTAATGGCGGAAACGAGATACGCGTTTCCGATATTTTACGTAGCTCTCGAAAATACGCGTCTAAACTGCGAGCTCGAAAAGTATTCGAGGAAGACGCGTCGGGTGGTTGTTACATATTTTTAACTTGTTAACGACGGTGTGACTCACTGATGAATCGATCGGCCGACCGGGGGTCCATTTTGCCATAGTTATCGCTTTGACAGGTACACTTTTTATTCGTAAACTGACCACTTACCGCTGACGCTGCCGTTTTCTGACAGCCTTCCCAACTTTTACTCGTCGCTCGCGTACTAGTAAGTCACCATTATCTCAACGACGAGAAACTACAGTATTCGTCTCGATTCATTATTAAATCGACAGGTCGCGGCGAAACGTTAGAACAAACTTTACAACTGCGTCTCGCTTTTTATTTACCTTTCCAAAGAAACTTCGAGAGTCATCTTTATTAATAACAAAGCTGTTTGTTCTTTGCGATAGTAGAAACGTTGACTTACTAATTAATAGTTGGCCAGTGTATATATTAGACGCTGATTTGCATGGACAAAGTTACGCGCGACACCAACGCAAAAGAAGAGTCTACTTCGCCGGAAATTGTATCAGCTCTGAATTCGAGCGGACGCCTTAACGGTGCTCGGTCAACTTTTTGCCGGAATTTTCGAAATTCCATTGTCTTCTAAAGGAAACGAAAGCCACAGACGACCGGACGCTTTGTAATTGAGCGCGTTTCACGAACCTGTTCCCGAAATTCGCGCGAATCCAGTCCGGCGTAGCGAGAAGTGTTATTCCTGCGTAAATCGACAGGAGGGCTGTCTTCCGGCAGACTGCGCGCACCTTGTGTCTCTCGGTTTTATTAAAACGATTGAACAATCCATTGTCGAAACAATTCGCATCGACGTTCAGTTTTATTATCGCATTACGTCATTCGGCCCGTTGTATATTCGGTGCACGTTAATTGCAGAAACCATTTCTAGGTTCTGCCTCCGATTAAGCGTCACGCGAATTTCATTTACGCGAAGCCATCGGAAGCTCCTCTCTTTCCGGCGATTAGATTTCAGTTTTTATTTCTTCCTCCTGGTTTTTAATCAGTCAAACAGATAACACTGTGCTCGTTTTTTTAAAAAGTCCGTCGATCGAAATGCAACGTCTTCGTGGAGATTCGCGGAGAGTTCTTTCGATTCCTCGG